GTATTGTGTTGATCAGTTTCCAGCAACAGAGAGTTTATTAGAGAATAAGGAAGCCCGGAGACTTTTCGAGTAGGGAGTTGATGTAAAGGCTTCTTTGCCCTTTCAAATGACCAGAGCATGTTTATAAGAGGAAGGGATGGATGCCTCCAGCTCTATAAAACATGAACCAACAGAGGAAAATAACTGACTGTTTTGAAGCCAAAGATGGCTTAGCAAAAGAGGACTGTTGTGATTGTTACACAGGGGTCTGGAAGATTATAAGATTAAGAAACTGACTTCTCTTTTTTCAAAATCCTAGACCTGGAAAGTACTTTAGAATAAGACCCCTCTACAACATCATTCATTCAACATTCATTAAGCACCTACTATATGCTAGGCACTAAGTATACAGGGACAAAAATGAAATAGTCCCTACCCTCACGGAGCTTACACTCTATCAGGGAAAACATGTATGTACATAATTAGAATATATGTATATATATGTGTACATGTACATATATAATATGTTTACTATCCATATATATCTATACATACACAGGCATATACACACACTAAATAAATAAATAAATAAATACAAGATAATGTAGAGGGGGAAGAGTACTAACAGCTGGGAGGATTGAGAAAGATTCATGCAGAAAGTGGTATTTGAGCTGAGTTTTGCTAATTAATTTATTTTTAGTTTTCAGCAATCACTTCCATAAGCTTTTGAGTTTTAAATTTTCTCCCCCTCCCTTCCCACCTCCCTCCCCAAGACATCGTGCAATCTGATATAGGCTCTACATATACATTCCTATTAAATGTATTTTTGTATTAGTCATGTTGTAAAGAAAAATTTGAGCTAAGTTTTGAAGGAACTAAGGGATTGCAAGAGTTGAGGAGGAAGCGTATTCCAGGTAGGGAGGAAAGCCAGGGCAAAGGCACGGAGATGAGAAATGGCCGGTAATGTGTGAGGAATACCCAGAAAGTCAGTCTGACTGAAATGCATAGTTCAAGAAAGGGAATGATAGTGATAGGGGAGAAGAGTGAAGGGTTTTAAGTGCCAAACCAAGGCATCTGTAGTTGCTCCTAAGGTAGCAAGGAGTCACTGTTCTACCCATAGAATATCTCTATTTGGAAACTGTGACTACTTGAGACAGGCTGATTCATTGAGGAGCAGCTCTAATATCAGGAAGCAGCTCTTACTGAGATAAAATCTGCCTCCCTATTACTAACTCTAGTCCTCCCCAGCTGTTCACAGTTCTGCTCTCTGGGACCAAGCAAAGTATGTTCAATCCCTTCTCCCACACAACAGCCCTTCAGATACTTAAAGACATCTATCATTGCCCCTCTAAGTTGGCTTTTCCCCAGGTTAAACATCTCTAGCTCCTTCACCTGATTCTTACATGTCAGGAGAAGCATTGTGATATAGTGGTAAGTAGGCAAGAGGTGGAACCTCTAGAGAAGCCTTCTGCTGAACATTGTGAGCTGCGTGACACTGAGCAAGTCACTTAATTTCTCTTAAATCCAGGGTCCTGATCTATAAGATGGAGATGATAATGTGTTTTTGTAATTGTCTGACATGATTTCAATTTCAAAAACTTCTAGTATGTGGTCATCTGCCTCTGGAGGGACAATGTTCCTCTTAAAATGTGGTACCCATAACAGAACTGAAGTCTACATGAGTATGACTTAGGTAGGGGATAATTGATTCATGACTTCCTTCATTCTCTTTACTCAACTTTGAAGATCTGACCAAAATCCTACTTTCTCTGGGAAGACTTGGCATGGAGAATGGACACATCTTCCCTCCTGCCAGAAACTCACAATAATGCCCTTTGTCTGGAGTAAGATCTTGGACAAATAAGTTCATCATTTCAGGCCTCAGTTTCTTTATCTGCAAAAATGAAATGTTTAGAGCTAATGCTCCCTAAGGGCCTTTCCAGCCCTAATATTCTATGAGGTTGGAATTTACATGTCAGACTAATTTCCCCACTTCCTTCTGAGGGCTTCTGAGAAAAGAGCACTCTAATTAAAGAGTCTCTGGGGTCCCAGTGGGAGTGGAAACTGCTCAGTGGACTGGAATACCTTCCAGAGGCCTGGCCACATTGGTGAAGGGTGGACATGTGGCTGAGGAAGCAAATGAGGTATGTTCCAGCCCCACCAAGTCTGTGCTAATAAGTCTGAGAGCAAATGAGAAAGGTCATATAGTTCAGCTTTACTTGTAGTTCAACTTTACTTCAGTTCAGTTCTGGGTATCACATTTAAGAAATAACATTGGCTCCCCTAGACAAGAGTGACCAGAATGGGGAAATCTTTGAAAACCATAATAAATGTATATGACATTTAAGTCATACACAAAGCATTTAACATATATTATCTCATTTAAATATATAGTTGTAAGTATTATTTCCATTTATAGATAAGGAAAGTGAGGTTACAAGAAATTAAGTAAGATATGTATATGCCTACATGTACTTATGCTTCTGTCTATGTATACATGCTTTTATATATGTGTTTATATATTTATATTTGTATTCTTTGTATGGATGGTTGTGGGGGTGCAGATATGTATATATACATGTATGTGTGTATGTAATAACTCATATTTTACAGGGCTTTAAAGTTTGCAAGGCACTTTTATCACAACAATTATATGAAGTAGAAGGCACAAATATTATCCCCATTTTACAGATGAGGAAACTTAGCCTTGGAGAGGTAAAGTGAGTTGCCCATGGACACACAGCCAGTAAAGTAAATTGGGATTGAAACCCAGTGCTCTTTTTGGTACACCACAATATGACTCAGTGTATGCATGCATGCATGCATGCATGTATGCATGTATTTTTGTACATGTGTCCCTTTGAGTACACATGTGTCTCTAGGCAACAAAATATCTGCACATGTATGTACATGCATATATATGTGTGTGACCATATGTTTGTGTTGTGTGTTGCATACACATGTGTGTACACATATATTTGTATGCTTCTGGATGTGTGTTTATCTGGGTAGAGGTAATGCTGGTCCAGCTTTACCCAGGGACAACAATTTTAAATACGAATTTTAAATACCCAGAGCTGGGTTCTTTCCCAGTGAACAGCCCTTCCTCCAGGCTGTGCTCCAGTGCTGGTGTGGGAAGATCCTCAGGCTGAGGCCAAGGCTTCCTGAGTTCTCTGCATTGGGTTTTTGATGCCAATCAGGACAGCTCAGAGCTCCCTGGCTAGCCCTAGTACCAGCCTTCCCCAGATTCTGGACCTAAGGTCTGTAATCATGTTTTTTTTTTGATTTAGGGTGGGAGCAAAGGCTCCTGATCTCCTGGTTCCACCACTAGAACCCCAGTGCCCTGGCCCCTCCTTCTCCACTCCCCAAACACTTGCGTCAAAGTTTGTGGTAAGATTCCTCCCCCTTCTCCTTCCCTCTCCTCTTCCCCCAAGGGAATCTTCCAGACACATTTTCCCTTTTTTTCCTCCCCTCTTGGGTGGAGGAAACAGGTCTGAGGGAGGAAAAGGGGCTCCTCAGAGGAGGAAATTGGGAGAGGAGGGGTGGGGGCCAGATGGACCAGGGGTAACCAAGAGCTTCCCAGTTCCTTCTTCCCACACTCCACACCCCCATCCCCACCCCAGTGCCAGCTGGAATAGCTAGAATCCTTTATGCCTTCCTGTGTGGAAGGTGGTTCCAAGAGCAGAAGGCTCTGGTACTCACCCCCTACACACACACCCGTTATTCTCACCCTCATTTTGGGGGTGAGAATGATCTCTGACCCTCAAACTAGAGCTAGGATTAGAGATGGGGTATGATTCATCCCACTTCAAATAGTCTTTCCCTGGTTACCCCCATCCCCCAATCTTCTAAGAAGCAGGGCCCTGGACTACAGGACCTCTGACTGCTTGAGATTTCTTCCCTTTCCCCGTACCCCACCCACGAACCTTACAGGAGAAAGAGACAGATTTCCAAGTACCCCTGTCCCTTTAAGCAAGCGTGCCAACTACGCCAGTCGGGGGCGATTTGCATAAAGATGGGGGGAGACACCCTGAGGGGCGGTGCCCGCGGCGGGAGAGGGTTTGTGAATGAAGCTTCGGAAGTGGGAGAGGGGCACGCTTGCAGAGGAGATGAGGAAGGGGTGCCGGCAGCCTTCTGAAGCTTAAGCCGGAATAGAGGTTCGAATGGCCACTCCTCGCTTCCAAAGGTCTTCTCAAGCAGAAGTACCTAGAGAGTGCCGAGCCCCATTGGCTGCTCCTACGCCTGGGCCCCTGCGAGCTCACCGTTTCCCCAGCATTGGGGCCCCTGGCACGAAAATCCTTTTTGCCCTCCCCAGGGTAGTCTTCTGCCCCACCCCATCTCCAGCCCCCAACACACACCCCGTCCCAACCCCCAGGCCCAGCTTCCGGAGAGGGCGCGGAGCGTGGGCAGCTCACAGAAAGAGCAAAAATAGCTCCCCTCCACACACACACAACCACCCCTGGCGGGGGGAGCCCTAAATTTGTAACAAGGACGAGAAATGGAGAGAACCCAATGCTGGAGAATCTCCAAACTCAGAGTGGAGAGCTACACTAGGTGGGGTGGGGGGAAGAGGGGGAGTGGACCCCTTCCCAGGCCGGGAACCCTGCCCTTTCCAGAGAGAATATGGGACAGGGAAAAACCTCAGGTAGGTAGGTGTAGAAGCGGGGGAATCTAATCTCGGCACTCTCCTCCCCAGATCCCTGCTCCCCCATCCCCCACCCCCATCCACCCCGGGCATGCGAACCCTGGCGGGGAAGTCCGAAGGAGGAAGGAAAAGGGAGCGCTAGGGACCCTCACATCCCTTCCTATACAGGTCTCGCTCAACCTTCACCCCCAGGAGTGTGAACCCGGGTGAGCAACCTGGAGGCGATGGGATGGGGAGTCTTGGTGACCCCAGCGTTCCTCCCCCACCCAGTCCCACCCATTCCGCACCCCAACCCCAGAGCTTGAGAACCCCAGGAGCGAGACGGAGACAGGGGATGGAGAGTGTGGGTCTGCATCCCTACACTGGTTCAGCTCACCTCCAACGCAGAGCAGAGACATGGTCCTGGGGGCCGGGCCGGGGCTGGGGGCGGAGGTGGGGGGACCCGGAGCTCAGCAGGGAGGCTGCCTATGCTCCGACGCCCTCCCTCGGGGCTGTGGCATCCCAGCCCAGCCCTACCCGGCCTGTTCGCTGGCTCTCCCTGCTCGCTGGCTCCCTAGCTCCCGAGCTCTCCGGGCTCGGCTCTCCGCTCACGCCGGGTCCCTGCCTCCACCGCCACCAGCCATTTTGTTTCAGCACCGGGGGCCGTGGACAGCTCCTGACGTCAGGGGGTGGGGGCAGGGGGAGGGGCCTGGGAACGCCTGATCTGGGGGCAGGGGGAGGGAGAGAGTAGGAGATGGGGAGAGGGGGAGGAGGAGAGAACAGTACGGGGCGGGGCTTTTAAAGGCACCCTACGATTCCTGTGCTTGGCCTTGGGGCTTGGGAGGGGTGGGGGATGGGGAAGGAGATTCTGGAAAAATTTGTATCCTCTGAGTAATCCCCAGAGGGTGGTAATCGTAGTGGTCTGAATCTTTCTCTTACCTTGGGTCGGAGGGCCTCTGTCTCATCTGTCATTTCACGCTCTCATTTTTCAACCTTCTCTTTGACTCTGCATTTCCCTCTATGTCTTTCTGTTCCTCTTCTACTGTTTATTCACTATTCATGGCCCAATCTTCCCCCTCCCTTTCTCCAAGTAATGTTATCATTCGAATCAGCTTAACCATTTAGACTTGCCACCTCTGTTCACAAAAGCACCTTCACTCATTCAAAAGTTACTTATTAAACCTGCGTCTTTCCATCTTTAATTACTTCTTCCCTTAATTATTGCTTCTGGTCCCTAGCTCACTTTCTCTCAGTTTCTCTCCCACCTGTCTTTGTTCTCTTGTCTCATTGTCTCGGAATAATAATCGCAGAGTTGAAAAGAACCTGAAAGGTCATCTAGTCTAACCTATCCCTGAAGAAAAATCCCCTCTACAACAGACCCAACAAGTAGTTATCTTTGCTTGAAGATCTCCACTGTAGGAGAGCCTCCCCTACACCACCTCCTTCCCATTTCACTTTGGGACAGTTCTCATTGTTAGAAAGTTTGTTTTTGCATTAAGTCAAAATCTATTTCTCTGCAACTTCTTCCCTGTTACTTCCCGTTCTTGCTTCTGGGACCAAGCCAAACAAGCTGATCCTTCTTTCAAATAATGAGTCTTCCAAATACTATTTGAGTACCATAGAACTCTCTCTCTCTCTCCCTCCTTCCCCCCCCTTCTCCTCCTCTTTCCTCCTCCCTCCTCTTTCTTTCTTTTACACTGTGTGTGTATCATTTTGTGCCTGCCTGACTCAGAGAAATTCTATCCAGAGAAAAGTCTTGTTAGTGTAAGTGGGAGACTGAGGGTAAGTGGTTAGGAGGAAGTCAGGGCTACTTTTTCTAAAAGGCTAGGCCTGGTAGCAACAGCCTCTTTTTCTCTTTTGTGATGCCCCACCCACTTCTCGGGGGCTAGACAAAATGAAGAGTGAAGAAGACGCTCAGGGGCCCCCTGACTTACCAAATCTCCCTGTTTACATGCTTCAACAAACACTTATTAAAAACCTACTGGTCTGGCCGTGTGTTTTGCTTAATGCTGGAGATACAAAGATGAAAAAAAAAAAAGGATAGTTGTTGTACATAAAAGGATTTTAAAAATCTGAACCTAATATGAAATGCTCTGGGGAGCAGCAATTTAAGTGAGGCTTTTTGTAAAGTGAATAATTCTTCTGTTAAGCAAATCATCTCTTAATTAATCTGCTGGACAAAGACTTCACAGAGTAGACACTCAATGACTGTTGAAAGACTGAATAAGGAGCCTGGCCCTTGCTTAAATCAGAGTCTTTCCAGAAGTTGGGGGTGGGACAAAAAAATAGGGTGTGAGGACCTCCATTTTGAGAAAGGACACAGATCAACTTTGTTTCATTCACTGGTGCCATCATGCTCCAATTACCTTCTTCCTCAGGATTTTGAGGAAAGGCCCAAACCAGCCATCCTTCATTTTCCAGATTTGCTGATCATGCCTTCAGGCAGGTACCTTACACACACACACACACACACACACACACACACACACACACACATACCCTTTTCAGCTCCCTTTTTTTATGTTGTCTTCATCCATTAGAATTTAAGCTCAGTGAGGCTGGGGACTGTCTTTCTTTTAGCTTACTTCTGTATTCCCAGGGTTTATATTCCCCGGTACAGGCACAGTGCCTGGAACATACTAAGCACTTAAGAAATGCTCCTTAATTTGACTTGTAGAAGGTAAGAGGGGAGGAAGTATGGGTCTCCGTGAGCTCATTCTTGGGAAGAATTTACTTCCAGAGACAGATTTATTTTGCTAGTTGTATGATGATGGTCATCATATAATATCTCTGAGTCTTGGTTTCCTCATTGGTAAAATAGGGATAATAATACTTGCAATAATTTTCTCACAGGATTGTTGTAAGATTCAAATACATATTAAAGGAAGAGAGGAAAGAAGTGATTTGTTTCAAGAATGGAGGACACCCAGTGCACAAAGATGGGAGGGATAGAGTTTCCTGTGTGCGAGGAACAGAGAGAAGAATAATTTGGCTGGATTGCAGAGTGTGAAAGGGGAATTAATAGCCAATGGGGTTGGAAGAGTAACTTGGGGGTAGATTGGGTTAAACTTTATAAATTCCATAGAGAAATTTACATTTTATTCTAAAGACAATCAGAAGCTACTGGGGTTGAATAGAAGAGTCAGATCTGAGCTGGAGGAAAGTTTTTGGCAGTAGTTTATAGGCTGGACTGGAGTGGGAAAAGATCGGAAGTAAGAAGATCAAGGAGGTGGCTGTTGTAATGATCTAGGAGAGAGAAGATGAGGGCCTGGTCTAAGGTGGTAGTTGTGCAAATGGAGAGAACGGGTCAGATGTATAACATGTTGGATATGTGAGGTAAATGAATATAAGGAGTCCAGGATAATGCCATAATTATGAATCTGGGAGACTGGGAGGAAAATGGTGCCTTTGACAGAAATAGGGAACTTAGGAAGAGGTGAGGGTTTGGGGAGAAAATAACAAATTCATCTTTGGATATAATGTCAGAGAATCATCTGCATAGAGATGATAGTTAAACCCCCAGGAGCCTCTAAAGTTATCAAGAGAGAATGTAGAGAGAGAAGAGGGCCTAGGATAGAACCCTAGGGAATACTGACAATTAGGAATCAAGATATGAATGATGAACTAGCCAAAGAGAGTGAGAAGGAGCAATCATACAGATAGGAGGAGAACAAAGAAAGAGCAATGACACAAAAACCCCGAGATAAAAGAGTATTGGGAGTGGGGTGGGGAAAGATCACCAATGTCACATGCTGTAGGTAGGTGAAGAAGGATGAGGACTGAGGAAAAGACCATCAGATTTGGCCATTACGAGATCACTGGCAATTTTGGAAATCAGATTCAGTTGAGTTGTAAGGTCAGAAGCAAGATTGCAGAGTCGAGGAGTGGGAGGACAGGAAGTAGAGGCAGCAAAGTATAAGTAACTTTTTTCTAGGGGTTTGTCTGAGAAACAGAGCAGAGGTAGCTTGAGGCAATGGTTGAGTCTAGTGAATGGTTTTTTTTAAGGGTGTTGGAAATGGGAGTGTTTGAAGGCCACTAAGGGAAGGAGGCTGTAGATTGGAAGAGGTCGATTATTAGAGAAGGAAGGGGAGGATGATTAATGAAGCAATCCTTTGGAGAAGACAGGAGATGATGAGCTCAAGAGTACATTTATAAGGGTTTCCTTGGCATGGAGAAGGGCTAGAGAGTGGAGAAAAGAAGGAGAGAGTGAGAAATGATGTCAAGGGGTTTTGAAATGAAGAGAATGGGATAAGAAGGAACATATATTAAATAACCTCAGTTTTCTCAGTAAAGTAAGAGGTGAGGTCCTGGGCTGAGAGGAGGGCCAGAGGGAGGTATATGAGGCTTGAGGAAGAAAGAGAAGGTTTGGAATAGCTTCTCTGGGAAGTGAAATAGGAAATCAATCAGGGAAGAATAAAAGGACTTCCTTTCTACAGTAAAGGATGAGTTGAGGTTGAATAACATGAATTTGTAATATACCTAGTAGACACAGTTTTGAGACTTCTGCCAGCTGTCTTCAATTACTTACGAATAGGCGCAGAAGCCAATGGTGGGAGTAAGCCATGGCTGAAATTTGGCAAGAGATAAACAGGAAAAGCAAGGAATTCAAGACCAGAGAATGGTGTAGAGTTTGAATGGATTGGATTGAGCTTCAAGAGGAAGGAAAGTGAGCCAGAGCAAGGATTAACTAAGAAAATACTGAGAAGTGGAAGGTTCGGAGGTCTTGATAAGGATGAAAAACAGGTTTAGCAGTGGGAAGGCCTCTCCTTAAAGAGAGGTGGAATGATAGAAGGTTGTGTTCAGATAAGGGAATGTCAGATACTAATTAGGAAAGTAGAACACAAGTTCCTAGAACTTGTGGATTATGGCCAGGTCTAATATGTAACCATCTATATGTGTGGCTAAGGTGGAGTGACGGAATAGCTCATGAGATTTATGGAGGCTGAAGAATTGGAAGGTTAGGGAATTTGGGGGAATATTGATGTAGCTATAAAGTCCCCTAATAAAAAGACAGGAATTGGGGAAGAGAAGATCCTCCAGCCAAGAGGATCCTTGAGAAAGGAGGAAGAATAACCTGGGAGTTGTTATACTACAGCCATCATGATTACGAACATGTGGAAAATGTTTATTTCCTCAGAAAAGGAAAGGTTGCTGAATGAAGGAGGTAAAGAGAGAGTGTGGAAGTGAAAGTGGATAGCAAAGAATATTCTCACTACCCCTCTAGGACCTTGGGGGAGGGAGCTGGGGTAGAAGGTACATTGAAATGAATGTAAGCTAATTAGAATGTAAGTCCGTTAGAATCTACTCCTTGAGAAGAAGGGGTTTTTTGTTTTTTCTTTGTATCCTCAGTGTTTGGCACCTAGTAAATGCTTAATAAATGCTTGGTAGAAAAAATAAATAAATGCTCCATAGTTGATGAAGAGCTGTTTGATGTGCTTTTCAGTAGAATCAT